TAAAAATAAATAAAAAAGATAAAAAGCTTATTCAGCGAAATTTCATAGAGCCACGCGTCTGCTAACTAACCAATTTTCAAGCTTTAATTTCTTTGTTTTAGGAGGAATGCGAAGATTACTTTAATATAGAATGGCGAGGGTGTAGCATTAATGGGGTAGTGGTAACCTGGGTCGTTGCCATTCAATTCTCGACCCGCCGGGGGTTCGATTCCCCCTTAATGCAACAGTAGACAAACGTGTCCTTTCCTAGGTATATGGATGTTCCAATTTTTCTACAAATGTTGTTTGCTTTTTTCGTTTTTGTTTTTGTTTACCTTTACACGCTTCCCTTCTGAAGGTAACCTGGATGCTCACGACCATATATATCTTGTTGGAGAAAATGGCAAGCACATCGCCAATCATGCGCAGCCCACCACAGCTTTCAGTGTATTAGCTTTAAATTACAAATTATTTTTCGGACTCTTGAATCCGCAGCACTCAGCTATCATAATCGACCCATTTACTGTAGACACCCTTAGTCTATTCTTTCCCTGACTGAGACTGATCACTCGACCACACGCTAATAAGCCCCCGTCAAAAAGAATCAATTTCTGCTCCTCCCACTCCCCATTTCGGAGTTCGATCATTGTCTCACCTCTCACAGACCCACATAAGTTAATGTCGCCGCAGCTACCTGCTGACATAAATCTCCTCCATTCATTTATAATGCCCCATGCCGGGGGCCAGTGCCTCAGAACACGAGGGTTGTGACCTGATCTTTGTGTCAAACACAATCAATCTGCCACTCTCCAACATCTAGCCCATTACATTAATCTCAATTTCCACGGCACGTCAGTTTTAGGGGAAATCGACCCAAGGTCCTGGACGAAAAAATCATCATGCTAGAGCTCGTTCGTCTAATGTTTGAGGTCGGAGACGTCCATCCGAATCGTCGTCGAGATTACTATGTGCAATGGCAATATAAGTACTGGAACATCTGGTTTTGGTGAATAGTAGGGAGCCAACGATTGGGAAAGCACGCCACCCGTTGTGATAAATGTGAGCAGCGAACACGATAGGTCAGAGAATCTTCAAGACAGGCATGGTTACCATCTTGATGATCTGGGAATGCCGATCGCGGAGCGCTCAAAGCGGCCAACAAGTGAACTGAGGAAGGGCTTGCTCCAAAAAGGTGATAGTGTGATATTCGGGCCTTGCACAATGCAAGAAAATTGTTTTCGATCAATCCATATTGGACCTCCAGCGGCCCCAAGCGAGCAACAGCCAGTATTGTTCCAGAAGGCCAACGGCTAACCCCACGGCAGTACCACAATCGGGTCCCAGGAGGTCAGTGCATGGCTGAAATGATGATGGATCAGGGTTTTTTTTTGTACTCCGAGAGCGACCCTGTCCAATGGTGGGTAGAAGGCACAGGTCGCGATATCAATACAAAAACCGTGAGCGTCGTCAGTAAATTGATTATTGCACGCATATCTTACTGCGCCACCTAAATATGGACCATCCCTGTAGTCCCACCTCAAAAGCCCGTGTAATTCGGTTGAAGAGGGTCAAAGAAGTCGCTGGTCCGGAGGCACACGTCCCGTGACTTTAGAAATGAACTTATGGTTACTATTTCTGACTGATTTCTGATATCCGCTAAAAATATACCCAAGGACACTTTCTAATAAAGAGCCTCGATAAGCCCAAGTAAGTACGGGTTCGTCGCATAGGTCGCGTTCTCTTTCCACTTAGCTTGTGCAGCGAACGTATACTATCTGTCTAGCCGTCACGCCATGGGGGATAAAGGAACAGCACATCCACCCGCCACGTGGATTGACTAGCTAGTCGGGGCTACCCTATCTTTACCCTATCTTTACCCTGCCTTCTGGACTTGGTCTTGATCAACGCTTGGCCGCATACTTACCGTTGACCTCCCCCCCTTTTACTGTAACTTGAACTCCCTCAACTGCCCGTGTTCTTAGGTATCATGTCTGGATCGTTTGCTCATGTAGAAGAGTCCATGCGAATTATTCTTCATTTATGCTGGCACACAACCACAATTGTCAGCTCGAACTTACCCTCGTGCTCCGGAACGAAACATTGGAAAGATAATCTAAACAAAGACTGCTTTGGGAAAAAAAAAGTTGAACAACTTTACGATATTGGTTCCTTCCTCTGTTAAGGAGAGTCAAAACGGGTCGCTAGTACACCCAGTTCATCACATTCGAGAATACAAGATAAACATCTTTGAATATTCATACGCCGTATGGAGAACAATAGTCGAAAGGTCTTCACCAAGCAGCCTTGATCAAATCCGATGCTCTCTCCGCAACGACATACGTAGCGACTTGGGAATGCGCCGCAGGGACCAACGGCTGCAAGTCAGACATAGAATCAGCAAACCATCAACGAAAGCAAAAACCAACTCACAATAACCGAAGAATCGACGACGCGCAAGCCTACGACCGTCTTCACGCGGAGATCGGGGTCCACGACGCCATAAGTTGCGCCCTTGGGCGACATGGCCGCCGTCCCCACTGCATGGGAAACGGTGATCGCTGCTCCTCGAATGAAGGCGTCCAGCTCGTCATCGGTAACAGAGGTGTCTTGGAGACTGATGACATAGTCTGAGAAGATGGGAGCTTGCGCGAATCGGCGTGAAGCGCGTATGGCTTCTCGCATGGCGAAGATGTCGAAGTCGGAGTCTAATAGGTTGGGGTTAACGATTGGAAGATCGAATGGGTTGTTGGAGCCTATTAATACAGTTCCGCCTGTATGTTTGTGGAATGATTTAGAGCAACGTCGCAGATAGTCCATACAAGGTGCACGTACGGGAAAGAGGCGTTACGATCACTGTTCCGATGACCATGAAATTCCCTGTGGCAGGAACAGGTAGACGAGTTGCACCATTCTGGAAAGGTAGTTTCCATAAGCCAAAAGAAAAGGAAAAGGAGATAAACACACGAACAGCGATGATAAATTCATAATGAGCTGTATTGGGTCCAGCCGACGGGTCCTCAAAGTCATCGAATATCGTCGCATCATCGGGAAGACGAAGCCATCCCGCGACATTGAAAGTACTCGCCGCGTAGGGCCCCATACGCGTCTCATTCCATTCTCTGATCTGTTCTTCCATTAAAGTCGCATTCCGTAAAGCAGTCTCGAAGGTATCTGTCGAGTTAACGAGCCAGGTATTCGCAACGAACGGGTGGTCAGTGAAGTTCTGTCCCACTGACGGAAGGCTAACGAGCGGCGTGACCCCGACCTTGGCCAAAAGAGCCGGATCCCCGATCCCGGAGTGTTGGAGAATGTGCGGTGTGCCGATAGCTCCTCCAGATAAAATAACTTCCTTTGTAGCTGTAACTGTCTTTCGTGGCCCAGCTGATTGTAAAGAAAGTCAGCGGAGAGGCCAAACTCAATGAACTGAACTCACACCCTCCCCTCCTGTCATCTGTGAACTCTACTCCTTTGAATACGCGACAGCCATTGTGGGTGCCAGTTTGAATCACACGGGTGACACGAGTATTCGTCAAGACGTGCAAGTTGGGGCGCTCGGCAAACTTTGGGGCAAGATACGATGTCGCCGAGCTGCTTCTCTTGCCGCCTTTTATGGTAGACTGTGTCCATCCTGCATTCTCGTATGTGAGGACCAAGAAACTCATGAATATATATATACATCAAAATAACGAACCGATGCCAATTTGATTTCCAGAGTTCATGTCAAGATTGAAGGGAAACTCCGGAAGCTCTGACGTCGCTTGGATAACGCGGTGGTCGAAGGAATATACGAATCCAGGAAGGCTAACAGCATTGATGCCGTGGAAACCGTGTACAGAGGGGTCGAATTCACCGGTCGTGTTGTGGTGGTCGGCGGGCTGAGTCCACCTTTCATTCTTGGCGTAAAGATGAGACACGAAGAGGGCAGAATTGTCAAGAGACCCATACTTTGCGGAGATACTTCTGGATATTATCCCATGACCAGCCGTCGTCATCTGTTAATTCCGCATAGCGATCATAGTCGTCGGATGAACCGCGTGTGTACGCTAGGCCATCTATTCGGAGACGATATGGTCAGGTGGATTGGGCATGAAGCTCAGACTATACGTACTCATGGAGCTGGTACCGCCGAGGATATGGCCTTGTGGGTATGTCATTGATCGGCCACCCAACCCCGGCATTGCTGTCGTCGTGTAGTTCCAGTCCGCAGGCGTATTGAAAAGGCGGCTGTTGAAGAACGGCACCTCCGCGTTGAAGACGTCCACATTGCTGCGCGTGAATAAGTGATGAGCTCTTGGTATTGACGACGATGCAGAGAGTACTTACGTTCCACCAGCTTCAATAACTAGCACAGAGTGATTGGGGTTCTCAGTCAACCGATTTGCAACTACAAGGCCCGCTGTTCCACCTGCAAAATTTTGCCTTCAGTCATTGTATTTCGCGTGTGGAAAAAGATAATATATTACCTCCAACGATTATAAAGTCAAAATTCTGTTCGGAAAGGTCCTCTGGACACGTTATAATAGCCGCCAGCGAGGACGTTGCCAGCGTAACGGCGAGGTATATCGCAGTAGGGACAACCATCGCGGGTCCTTGGAGGACAATCGCAAGAGGGAGGCTATGTTGACATAGGAGTCGCTTCTCCCGGCACCTTCATATACATGTATAAATGTAAAGGAGCGAACAATTCGCGAACAAGGGTCGAAGGGCACATGATAGTTCCATTGGCAGCTACCAAGCATCTATTTCACACAAACTTCAAATGCACCACATTGCTTCTGGAAAGCATTGTTACGGCCAGAAGTCATGTATGCTTCCAGAAGCGTCGAATCACTGGAGGTTGTCATAGTTGGCGGCAGTGAGATTCTGTTAGGTCAGTCCAGTATGCTATTGATGATAGCCTAATCATATCCGGTATGGTGTAACGGCTAACATTGCCGCCTTTCATTCATTCGAAGGGCCGCGGCAGCTCGGGGTTCGATTCCCCGTACCGGAATTTTTCCAGAATTTTATATCCACCAATCCCGAACATTCCACCCTATCAGTTTATCCTCTCAATACCTGTCTAGAACATGTCGGATATGGTGTAACGGCTAACATTGCCGCCTCTCAGATGATCACCTCGTCCACGCGGCAGCTCGGGGTTCGATTCCCCGTATCCGAATCATGAAATCCCCCGATGTTTTGCCATATGTTTGTCCGGAAGACAGCAACCCGTTTTGTAGCCCAGCCTGGCATATCAACTTGTCTTCAACGACACAGGCAGGAGACTCTAAAAAGGCTTATCATTTGATACAACTGATATAGTTTATGATATGGTACGTTATCGTAGTGGGATGGGTGTAACGATGCGAGAGGAGTGACGATGAGACCTGGTGGTTGCGATGACAAACCGACGAGAGAGAGAAGGAGATGCGATGGTGATCAGATGAGATTGAAAGTTGAAGATTGTGCTCGATGGATGGATGGATGGGTGGGAGGAGGATGTTCAGTCTCGTGTGTGGATAGTGGGATGATGTAGATAATACCGACGATGACGAAAAACAGGATCACAGAAAGCAAAAGGAAAAGAAGAAGAGAAAGGAAAGGAAACAAAATGAGAAAACGATACATGCAAGGCGAATAAATAATTCGAAACTCTCCCGCACTCAAGCGAGCGCCTGTACCCCCTCGTCCCAATCCCCCTCGGCCACATTCCCAACCCCGCGACACACCGAACACGCCACCTCCACCTCCCCATCCGCAACCGTCGCATCCTCACCCATCAACGCAAGCCTCGACGCGCTCACCAAGCACGCCGGGTGGAACGTATGCGGGCACACGTTCTTTCCCAGCTCCCCGCCCTTCTCATCCTCATCTAGTTCCTCCGCCTCCGCCTCCTTCCCAACTCTACTCCTCGGCGCCCTAATACTCAACTGCCTCCTCGTCGCATCCGTCAACGTCGCGAACGGATCCTCATCCGACGGGCCCAGCCCACAGCTCACATCATAGCACCGGAGCCCCGCCTCGCGCTCGCGCCGCTCGATGCGCTGGCGCAGCGTCGGGCCGGGCGCGGGGGGGAGCGTCCACGCCTTCTTTTCGGGCTGGTGGGCCTGACCGTAGGAGTGAGGAGCGAACCAGTCGCTTATGCGCGTGAAGCCCGGGGCCTGTTGCTGGCCGGGTGCTTGAGCTTGAGCTTGGGGCTGGGCTTGGGGTTGACCTTGAACTGGGTCTGGGGGCGCGTTGGCGGTTGTTGCATTCCCGTTCCCAGCAGCGGCGTTTGCAGCGGGAGCAGGACCAGGACCGAACAACGTGGCGAGCGGATTGAAAGGGAGGTTCAATCCATGAGCACCAGGCACATTCGCCGCAGGTGCTCCTCCAGGTGCATTCGTTGCACCATTGGCATTGTTGAAAAGGGGGTTATTAAGCGCAAAAAGGTTTAACAGCGGGTGGTTGGTCGGAAGAGGGAGGATGCGGTGGCCTCCGAGTACGTTGGGCTGTGCTTGGGGTGCGTCCGGAGGTTGTGCTTGGTCTTGTGCAGCGGGGGCGGGGGCGTTCGGGGGTTGAGGTTGAGCGGGGGCAGGTGCGTTATCCTGAGGGGCCTGAGCCATCGCAGACGCGAGGAGTGCAGCCAGCAATCCCCGCACCGCATTCGTGTTGCCCGCGAAGTCCTGTGCTTGCTCTGGTCCTTGAGCCGGCTGAGCCTGAGCTGCGTGAGCGGGAGGGGGCGGAGCCCCCTGCGCAAACAACGACGCGAGCGCCTCCCCCATCGTCCGTCCCGCCCCCGCCATCATGCCCGCTCCCATTCCTCCCATTCCCATTCCTCC